AAAGAGAGAGAGAGAGAGAGAGACGCGAACGCGCCACCAGTTCGATTACGAAATACAGTGTTCCTTACTTTCCACGGTTCTCTCGCCGCTTCCTGGTTTTTCGCACAGCCTGTGCGTGCGGTAGAATAGAACCGGTCGATAAAGTTTCCGCTCGCGTTCCCCACTTTTCTCTTGGACGCGTTTCTCCTCGGCTCGATACTTGGATCGATTCACCGCCGAATGACTGCGAGCACGACGCCGCGTCATCGTCCTCGTCCCCGTCCTCGTCCTCGTCCTCGTCCTCGTCCTCGAGTTTCCTACTGCAATCGCGCAGACTGCCTTCCACGCTCGTGTCCCGTCGCTCCAAAAGATTATCGCCTTCTTGCATAATTCCCGATCGACGTTTATTTTACAGATCCGCATATAAAGGTCGCAGGTCGACCCGATGACGTGCGAGCTGCGAAGGAGAAGATAATGGAAATTTTGGACACGAGGGTAAGCATCTTCGCTCGGCGAAGGATTCGCGACTTTCACCGAAACGTTACGCGATCCGTGTTCGAACTTGGTACAAATATTACTCCGGCTGTTATCGCAGATAATCAATCCGTCGAGCGGACGATAAAAGGTTGTCGCGTACCGGGAGGAGACCTTCGCAACAACGCCGCGATATTCTTTCCTCCGAATCGTTGGCTTGCCAGAGGTCGACGCACCCTCCGTGGAGCGTATTCCAACGGAACCGTCCACTACTCTGCTTGCTAGCCATTCCTCGATTCAGGATCGCTCAACTATCGCGCGCGATTCCTCCTTTTCCTTTTAATCGTCGCGAGACAAGTCGTCGGACGAGGTGGAGGGGGCCGTGTCTAACGACACCGCGCTAAGGAAGAAGGCAATCTATTTATAAGCGGACGTGGTCGTCTCGCGAATTCCCGGCCGAGAAAGCGACGGACGTCCTGCGCGGCGGCCACTTTGGATTTCCTCGCCGCCGCTACTCGCGAACCGTTATCTCGAACGCGACCGCCCGCGCGCCCATGCAAGCCTACTCCTTTCAATCGCGTTTCGATCAACGAAACCAAGAGTGAACGGAATTTCCCGGCTCCGTCCTGCTTCCTGCCCACCTAATCTCGCGGCCTTTACGTAACGCTGCTGGACTCGAGATCGTCTGCATACTCGAGCCGAATAGCCGTTGCATACGTAAACCTCGAGTGCAAAAGTCAATGTGCCGCGCGGAAAGTCTAACGGTTCTCTAACGTCGCGAGGACCTTGCGTACTTTTCCACTGATCGTGTAACGCCGAGCTCGACGCCTCTTTATCGAAATTTATCTTTCCCGACGCGCTCCTCTCCTCTCTCCTCGCCCCGACTGTGCCCGCGCCGCGCCGCGCCGGTGTGATATACGCGGCGATCTATCTGCAAAGGAAATGCGTCCACTTTGAACCCGTTTCAGCAAAGCAACCGTGTCACCATGAAGCTGGACGTTAGTTACACCGATCATTCGCATATCATCGGAAAGGGCGGACTAACGATTAAACGGGTGATGGAGGAAACTGGATGTCACATCCACTTCCCGGACAGCAATCGGAGCAACCATCAAGAAAAGAGCAATCAAGTGTCCATCGCGGGCGAGATGGAGGGCGTCGAACGAGCCCGTGCTCGCGTCAGGGTGAGCATTCTTCCTTCCATTTCCTTCGCAGCTCGCCTCTTACGCATATCAATCTCCTCGGTTCCTTTACCTTCTTGCAGAATCTTACGCCTCTCATATTTTCGTTCGAGTTACCGATAATGGGCTCGTCGCAGACCGTGCCGGATTCCACGTCGCCGTACGTGATCAAAATCCAGGAGAAGTACAACGTTCAAGTGATGTTTCGCACCAGGCCGAAATTACACGCCACCTTGGTCGTGGTGAAGGGTTGCGAATGGGAGGTGTCTCAGGTGAAGGAGGCGACCGTGCTTCTCATTCATTACATGTGCCAAAACTTAGCTGTAAGTCTCTACGCTCTGTTCGAATCGATTAGACTACATACGTAGACACGGTCCAACCCGAACTTTCCCTCTTGCGCGCAGAGTCAGATACAAGTACAAATGTCGATGGAGATCTCGCCGCAGCATCACAGCATCGTGCTAGGGAAGCAGAGCGGTAACTTGAAGATGATCATGCAACGCACAGGCACGCAGATAATGTTTCCAGACGCCGGGGACCCGAACATTCCCAGTTTGAAAAGGAGCAACGTTACCATCACAGGTGGCATCCACAACGTTTACTTGGCCCGGCAACAGTTAGTGGTAGGTCGTGTTTCTTCCGTCGCTCTCGAGATCTACGACGTCGTACGTGTTGTAAAAGCAAGAGAAACTCTCCCTTTCCTTCAGGGCTCTCTACCTTTGGTCTTGATGTTCGACCTTCCGGAGGAGGCGATGTCCTCCGTCGACACGGAGAACATTTCCCAGTTGATGCAATCGTTGGACGTGTTCATAAACGTGAGGCACAAACCGAAACAGAGCACGCTTTCCGTCATCATCAAGGGAATCGAACGGAACGCCAGCAACATTTACGAAGCGAGGAAACAGCTTCTGGGCCTGGACGAACCTAGAGTGCACGCCGAGATACCGGCCACTTATCATATTCCGAACATCGGGAATATCTTTCAAGGAGGCAACTCGGGCAACTGTTTGAGTAAGTCTTAACGGAAAACTGGAACGAGAGCGAATTAAACGATCGATACGTCTTCCGACACACAGGTCCGAACAGTCTGGTCAGCAATCTGTCGGAGAACTTGTCGAATATGCTGGCGGTGAATACGCAGAATCCTCCGTACTGCGTGTCGCCCATGGCTCACTCGCCAAATCCGATGGGCTTGTCACCTCATTGGGGATTACCACCACCGATACCGTCCATGTTTTCGCCGCTACCACCGCTTCATCACCCCTACCCCTATCCCCACCTTAATCATCTGCTCACGACTCAGCACGTAATGCACAACAACAACGGGATGCCTCATCATTCTCACGGATTGCACAACCATGCTTTTACCGGACAACTTCATTCGGACGTACATGCTGCCGGGTTTCACAGTATTCACGGGCTGAACGGCAGTTCGTTGGCGGACAGCAAAGAAGGCAGCGGTAAGCTTTCGACTATCCTCGCTGTATCGTAAAGCGTCTATTCTCATTCTTATATTTATCGCAGCCTACTCGTCGTTGAGCAGCGTTTCCAGTTCTCTATCTAGTCCGGCTATCAGTCCACGTAACATATCTCCGGTCAATCCTACCGAGGCCAGCCCTAACTTAGGTGAGTACCTCTCTTCGTCTACTTGCCTCGACGATCGTCGAGCAGAGGCGTCTGAATGTTCTCTCGTACGACAGATCTATCCAGCATGCTGTCCGATCTTTCGGTGTCGGATCGTCGAGCACCTGGTTGCGAAAAGAAGTCCCTCGAGATGGCTGTGCAACAGAATTTCGCGCCCTTCGATTACGAGCAGAAGAAAATATTGGCGGCGAAGGCGATTCAAACGAAACCGAATTCCAGCGATTACCGCGTGCCAACTTCCGCATGGTCTGGCTACGGACTCAGTCAATCCATTCCTCCGATAACTACTTCCGATTTGACCAAGGTATACTTGCATTCACCGACTAATCGACTAACGCGCCAGACTCGAGGATAATCGTTTTACCGAAATGCAGGAGTTGACCACCTCGCATCCGTCTGATTTGTGGAAGGAACCAACGACGCCTGTGTTCAACAGAGAAATAGACTTTGGAATCGGGTCCGGGAAAGATCGCGTCGGACAGATCGGCATAAGTTCCAATTACATGGAACACACGCCTACCTCGCACTTGAAAAAAATCACGTCTCATCGGTACGACGACTTGACCAGCATGTTGACCAGCGTTGGACTGGAAAAATATATTCGTGAGTAGAAGACTTACAAGTTCCTTTGCATCGCTTGCATCGCTTTACACGCTCAGCTTCTGTTCTCTGTTCTCTGTTCTCTGTTTGTCAGGCCTGTTCACGTCTCACGAGGTGGACATGGCTACGTTTCCCTCCTTGACGGAGAAAGATCTCTGCGAAATTGGGATAAACGCTTGGGGTGCGAGACGCAAAATAATGCTGTTAATCGCTGGTACGTAAAACGGTTGTCAGATTGTCAGGCAGCAGTTTCGCTTCGATTTCTACCCTCTTTCTTTCTCTCTCTCTCTCTCTCTCTCTCTCTCTCGCTTTCACAGAAATGAACAAACGAACGAGTCCGTTCAGCGGTAGCGCGGCTCCCGGAGCGGAACGCAAGACGACCACGTCAACGACCTCGTCGTCGATGGAGAAGTGTAATTTGGACACGAAATGGTAAAAAAGACGAAATAACGTTACGAGTATCGGAGAATTCGGATAGGAAAGTACGTGGTACTTAATAAAACTCGCCTCGGTTTCCGAAATCGAATTTACGCGTGGGCCCTCTCGCCGACTCGACGGTAGGATCAAGGTATAATTAGTATGTTAATTTCCGATTCTAGGCACCGAAAGAATAGCCGGTTGATTCTTTTTGTGGTCGAGGACCGTTTGCATTTTTTTTTCCTATTTTTTTCCCCACAGCCCTCGATTCACGCGGACGGAAGGTGCCTTAGGTTAAGAAACTCGTTGCTACTTTCGTTTCGTTAACTTTTTTTATGTTGCTAATGGTCTTTCTATCGGTCGTGCGATACTCGACGAATCGATGCATCTTTTGTCTCGGTTCGTACGGAGCGCGAAACCGCGATGCTCCAAAAATAGTAGTGGCGTTCGACGCGCGTTTTCTCGTGTGTGTATTTTTGTATAACGGTGATGTGTTCGTGATGTGATTGAACGATAGGCGTATACAGTATACATTTAACGATAACGGTTCTACTGGTACAACGAAGCGCGGGTACACCGACCACGACGCTTCGAAACTCGTTACGCGCGATGGGCGAGGAATGTCCCGTGCGTTCGGCGGCCTTTCGCCTTAGCGAAGTTCAAATATTTAATCTCGACTAAGCTCGAAATTCGGCTAGACGAGACACGCGGCTCTTGCTTCTCTCGCTTCTCGTCCTAGTCGCGTTTTCGAGTTTTACAAAGTAACCAAGTATTTATTATTCACTCGCGAGGGACGTCGAACGTACGCCGAGCAACTGCAACTGCTTTCTCTGCGGAACGAATCGAAGGGGTGCCGATTAACGAGACCTTGCACGCTTCGAGGATATTTCGAGTCCGAGTTTCTTTCGGTGTATCACGATCGATCGTTTTACAAGCGAAACACTTACTCGAACTACCCTCGAAAGACCCTACATTTACCCAACTATTCTGCAATCTGCAGCTGAATAATGCGCGACGGTCGACCGCCGTTCGGTCGATTATTTCGTGCGCATCTTCGTTTCTCTTCTTTTTCTTTTTTCCCCTTTCAATTTTTCCTTCCTTCCTTCCTTCCTTCCTTCCTTCCTTCCTTCCTTCCTTCCTTCCTTCCTCCCTTCCTCCCTTCCTCCCTTCCTTCCTTCCTTCCTTCCTTCCTTCCTTCCTTCCTTCCTTCCTTCCTTCCTCCCGCCCCTTTTTCTTTCTTTCTATTTATCTATCCTTCTCTCCATTTTTTTTTTTTTAATACCCAAGTACTCGATGAACATACGAGGAACGATATTTTTGTTGCTATAAGCTGCACGTACGTGTTCGTGGTCTATTTACACACAGTAGCTGTTTTACGAAAGTAAGATACTCGTTCGATATAAATTATTCGTATTTTAAACCATTTTTTTTTTCCTCCTTTTTGTGAGCATGCGAATGGAACTGAAGCGTTAGGCAACGAGCTCAGGCTGTGTTCACTATAAGTGACAACATTCACGGTGCGAACGTATTCGAAAAGTCCATCGGTCGATGCGGTTTGGCAAAGAAAGATTCGTGAGAACGTGATCGATCGAGAGCTGTGATCGAGCTTACCGGGAATGCCTAGCGAGTCGAACAATTTTACCGTTAAAAGTTCTTGACTAAGTCTTTTGTGAAGTCTTTTTAAGCATAAATTATTGTTGTTCGGTACGGCACGAGCGTGTGCTCGAAAATTGATCGGAAATATTTTGAAAAGGGAATAGATACGTATATTCTGTGTTTTCTACGTGTGTCTGTGTGCGCCTGTGTATGATGTAACAAGACTGTGTTCGATCGTCCCTGTTCCTTGTGCTCCTATTGTGGAACAGTGTTCATTTCGTTCGGTGAAAAGAAAGAAGAAAAAGAAAAAAAATAGAAAAAAAACCGGAAGAACGCTCGATTCGGACGATTTCCATTGTTCGTTCGTTGCGACGATCGAACAATGCGAATCGTGCTTTGCCGTGTGCCTTCGTAACGGAGCATATGTCGTTTTGTGTTTTCGCGATAACGATGGGACGTCGCAGAGCGTCCGATCGCTGTTTTTCTCGAGAAAAGGCTTGATCGATGCACGCAAGATTCCTCTCGACGCGAACCAACCCGTACGTTTCCACGTTTACCTTTTTTCGCGACTTTACAAGTTTGCGCCGCGCGAGATTCTTGCACGATCGATCAGAACTCGACGAATTTTTTTAAATGAAATACGTCACACTGTTCTTCGATGTTCCTACCTAATATATCTACACATACGCGCGCGCGCGTGTGTGTGTGAG